GTCACGGTGACATGTCCGCCTCGCCCGCCCGCGCCAGCGCCGCGCGCCGCACGCCGCCTCCTCCGTCGGCGGAGCGCGGCGGCGACGTCCCTGCAAGCATTCGGAAGGCCGCCAAGGATGGCCAAGCGGGAGCGGTGCTGGCGTGGTTCGACGGCGGCGGGTGGGTGGACGAGACGTTCGAGTACACCTTTGATGACGGCTCTCGTGAGAGCGAAATGACGCTGCTGATGATCGCAATGTCCAATGGCCACGAGGAGCTGGCCGAGGCGCTTCTGCGGCGCGGTGCAGATGTCTCGTTGCAGAACAACGACGGCAGCACTGCGCTGATTCTCGCTGCCACGAACGGCCACGAGAACCTGGTCGAGCTGGCATTGCAGCACGGCGCGGAGATCGATCAGAAGTACAGCGACGGCGACACTGCGCTGATGGACGCCGCCTACAGAGGCCACGAGCGGGTTGTCGACACGCTGATCCGGCATGGCGCAGAGATCAACCTGCAGGCCAGCAACGGCGGCACCGCGCTGATGCTTGCCGCCCTCCACAACCATCCCGCCGTGGTGCTTCGCGTGCTGCGGGCGGGCGCTGACATGACGCTGCGGTCTAGAGGCGGCAGGACGGCGCTGCAGATTGCCAAGGAGGAGGGCCACGCCGAGTGCGTGCGCGCCCTCGAGGAGCATGCGGCGGCCAAGGCGGCGGGTGAGGCGGCGGCGAAGGAGGCGGCGTGGGCTGCGGGGGCGGCGGAGAGGGAGGCGGAGAGGGCGGCGGCGGAGAAGGAGGCGGCGCGGCACGCCGACGAGCTGCTGGCGGAGGTCGAGGCGGAGAAGCGCGCCAAGGGCAAGAAGGGCAAGAAGAAGAAGAAGGGCGGAGGGGCGGGCGGGGCTGGGCCGTCGCAGGAGACGATGGCGGCGGCGGAGGGTGATGAGGCGCCGTTGGAGGCAGCCGAGGCTGCGAAGAAGGCCGAGGAGGAGAGGATGATCAGGCTTCTCGAGAAGTGTCACGAGGAGAGGATCCGGTTCGGCATCACGGCGGAGAGCCAGGCAGCGGCGTCGGCAGAGGTGGCCGAGGCGGTGCGCTTGGACGCTGCGGCGGACGAGGCGGAAGAGGAGGCGGAGGCGGACAAGGCGGAGGAGGTGGCTGCCGTGGC